GTGGTCGGCTTTCTGATCAGGACTTTTTTCTTTCTACCAGACCACCAAGGTGGGGTGGTCTTTGTCCTGATGGGACACATGGGCGCAAATTTGTTTGCGAGAGAAAAAGACTATCCCTGATCAAGCCGGACTAGACAACTCCACCGCCTGCCTCAGACCACATCATAATCCGTATGCAGATAAGAGGCCTTCGGTAATAATACATCCGTAACGACAACGCTGGTGGACTTGAGAGGGGAAAAGGTACAACTGTATTGACAAGAGGATACTAGCATGAACACTTCTACAAGGCAGTGCGCCTACAGCAGTGTTTCTAATATCATTCCTGCTTTTGATGAACACGAAGTCAAGGAGAGTTGCCCAGTAGTTGTAGAGTGGGATTGGTGAAATACTGAGTAAGCACCAATTCGTGCATCATCTCCAGTAGCTCATCCTCAAAGCTTCTCGCTGGTCCATACTCTATCCCTCATTTGACCTCCAGTGCGTTGAAATCTCCCAGGTCAAGGACCCCATTGGTTTGCGTTGCTAGATGAGGGAGAGCTCCAGAAATAGTGCATTTTCGTTGATACCAGAGCTTGGGCTTCCATAACCACTTCACTCCGGGAAGCTTGATTACGCAACCGGTAGAATGGATGTCCTCCTGTGATGATTGTAGTAATCGTAGTAATACGTACGGAATTCGGAACACCAACCACGCAATATGAATCACAGGACCCGAATCAATAATCAGCTATCACGGACTGGACTTCAGAAGCACTAGACCACAACGGCACGGATTCGCAATGTCCCACGAGAACGAGACACGAAGAAAAGGCCACAGGACTGGCAGTAAGTAGTTCGTTTATTGAAAGAAATGAAGGTGATTAAATAATATGTACAAAAGGAGATCATTGGCTATCTGTGCTTCCACCAATGGGATTGCAGTACTGCTTACAAAATCTTGCTTCTGTCAGAATTGTCTTGGATTGGCTGGCACCATCCACCAATGACGTGTATTGAGAAGCCATGCACGTATCATTGACGTCAGCATTCAAACTTGATTGATCGCAAATGTCCTGAAACTGTAACGCGCCACTCCAGGGTAGGCGCCATCGTATAGACCTGCATCACCACACCTCCCTAGACAGGGTTTCCAACGTCGGCAGAGGAAAATGACCCACCACCAGCAGTGACACACTACCCCTCAGCCTAACCTTAGAGTAATCACAGCGATAGGCTTGAAACCCTGATGGACAGAAACCGATTATACAAAATTCAGACTTGCGCCAAGTCTCCAAGGTGGTAAGATAGTGCATCTCGTCAGCCTCATCCCGGAGCTCGGCCCACTTGTTAATTAGCCTGCAGACAATGGAGTAGCAATCACTGAGAGCCTGCACTCTTGATTCCACCATTATTTCACCCAGGAGCTGGTACAGGGTGACCGCCAAGTGTGGGGCTTCCTTATGGGTCCGCCTTTGCCATTTTGTGCCTTAGGTTCTCTAGAGTTTCATCTTCCGGCTAGGGCGGGAAAGACTGGAATCGCTTTTTCCTTTGTCTCCCTCCCTTTGTCTCACTCTCACTGTGAGAACTGAGAGCTGCGTGATGCTAACTTCCTGGTTGCATCAAGGTGGAGCCGTTATGCCTTGTATTTGTATTTATATAACTTGTACAAGCATATATGCTTACNAAATGTGCACTGTTCTTCACGCAGAATGAAATAATCATAATAAAAACGAAAGGTAAAGAATGCCGGTGATATGTGTTTCATGTACAAAACGTTTGACGTAGTTCATTGGAGACCTGTTCCTTTTTGGTAAGTAGTCGGGCCAAGTAGGGTACAGGGGAATTTTTATAAATATTAATCCGAGAGGGTAGCTGTCGAAATGAGGAGCGTGTGGACAGATGGGAACAACAAGACGATCAGAGTGTAGTGAATGAAGAGGATAATCTAGAATCTTTTGAGCAAATNGATTAATAAATCGATTGGGATTAAGGATGCACTACTGATTACCACCAAACCACGGCGAATTGCTTTGAAGTCTTGTTTTAAAAGACCGGGAAACACCTCAGGGGAGCAATAGAGTAGAATGGATAAAACGCATTGATGAACGAAAGATGACAGAACTGACTGTGGGGTTTGGGATTGCCTGAGTTTGCGTAACTGAAAAGATAGACGTCTCAGTTTTCCCATACAGTTGTAGAGTTGTGTAGACCAATGAAGGTTACTGTCGATGGCGACACCCAGGTACTTGACTGAGGTCATTCTGGATAAAGGTTTACCGTTAAGGGTGGTAGAGTCTGTTGTTAATGAGGAGCGGGAAGGACTGAAAACGCACTCTACGCACTTAGATATGTTAAGACTTAGAGCAAGAGTGGTCATGCTCTATGGTCACCTGGCCCCCAGTCTGCGTTTTCACTTGGGCGAAAGATGCAAGCAACAAGTTTTGTGTCATGGGTTATGTAGCTCAACCAGGGTCTGCCTGGAGGGAACCCGCTGGTATCCATGCCACTTCCGTAGTCGTAGTATAGGATTGATCTGTACCTCTGATGGGATCTGGGAGAGCCAAATAGTGTCACTCACGTAATGGAAGAATACTTGCCTGCTGCTATGTGTTTCTCGACATAAAGGCTCAAGTAGGCCCTTGATTACTACATTGCGGTTTCTCCCAACTGCTCTGTGGTTATGAATCTCCACCCGCTGCAGTCTTTTATCTACGTCAGCTTCGCAATGGCCTCTATGATCGTCAATGCGCGCATTAAGTGTCGCCTGTTTCGATGGCGGTTGAACCTTGAGGGGCTTGCTGATGCGTTGGTTGTTGCCACTAACCGGCACGCTAAGGCCTCACTATTGACGATCCGGCAGTGCTTCCCTCCTCTTTTGCGTTTAGGCCTAAGGACGTCACTGGTGCAGCTGGTTAGACAACAAGTTCTCGTTTACCCACAACTATCCAGCCCCTATCATTGTCCAGTCGAGGGCCTATGACGTTGGGTTGGTTCCATTTCCTTGGTATAGAGCTCCCTAGTTCGGAGTTAACCCTTTTTTCTGCTGAGTACTTGGAGTCGAGTTTCCCGGGGGTGCCGGTGTTGAGAGTTTTGTGTTATGATGCCCTCTTGGGAGTACCAATTTAGCCCTGCATGTCAAGTTGGAGCTGGTGCAGTTAAACAGACCCATTTCAAAACATGTATGGGCAGTGGAGTTTTCAACTGCCTCGGACGATAGTTTGCTACACCGCTGGTGGGAATAATCCTGGCACAGATCGCAACAAATGCCCTCAACAGCCTTGAAAGCAAAACCTTTAGCACACGAGTATGGTGTGACTGTTTGTTTGGCTCAAGTAGCTTTAGAAGGAATTCTCTGGGCTACCATAGCGCTGATNAGGTTTCGCTTCAAGCTACATCTGGTGATAAGGCCATAAAGATGAACACGTCAGAAAAACGATAAAGACTAAGAAAAATTAACTCTGAATAGTGCTTTGGGCAGACAGTGTTGTAGCCTAGTCGCTCACCTGGAAGGGACTTAGTCAAGTTGGCCCTACCACCCGGGTTCCGCTCGGTATTGGCTCACTGATGCAGATATCCAGCATCTAATGGATAAAGTGTGCATTCCACTAAGTTGCAACAGGCTATTGTGATCTCCAGATTTCCCTTCTCTTATTTTCGGTCGAAATTTAAAGAGAAACGCTCCACTCCAAATTCTGAGCCGCACTCTAGCTTAATGTCCCATTTTTTAAATACGTAGGCATCTAGGATGAAGCTGATGGGCGTTTTGCTGGGTAACAGTTGACAAAGAAAACGAAAAACGCTAGATTCTTCGCAAATCTTCGAATTTATACCCGGAAAATCTTACATATCTCGGTTACTAATAATAGGGATAGGAACAAATCCGTGTCTCCGTGGGACAGTCAGTCAGTAGTTTTGCACTATAAATAACTGGAAAGATTGCACTATTGTATGTTACATTCATTGACCTTAGACACTCCTCCACCTTGGATGACAAAGCACGGATTTTGTGGAGGCCGCTATGAGTAACACTTGGGAGGACAATAAGTAACATCTTAACTACAGTTGGAATGCTTGTAAAAAGGTGATCGTATTTCTCGCTTCCTAATGTGTTGCGGTTTGTGACGAAACTCATTGGATTCAGTGATAAACTTGGACCTAATGGATGTGTGATATCAAAACGACGATATTTTGCAAGTAGCTCTACGTAGCCGCAATATGGCTATACGTAAATAGGTTAAATTTTGCTCTACTTCTTGTTTTGCGACTTTCATGCAGTTCGCACAATAATATCCATGGTAAAATGCTCCAAGCTGCGGATATTATTTGTTCAACTTTGGTTTCCACACATACATAATAGATAAACGATGAATTTTTGTTTTGCAATCGGACATTGTAAGGTAATGTAAAAGTTAAATCTGAGTTACAATAAGATATGTGCATTTTTATACAAGAAAAACTTCCATTTACGTGTCTTCTTCTAGAACAGAAACATATTTTCAAAGCCGATTTGTGAAAGTCACGTGACTGGGGCATTGAACTTGCTCAGAACCAGACTGACTTATCCTTCAGACGATTCGGTCGATAGTCGGATTTGAAAAACCATTTCAGTATACCACTAGGTATTGTTTTCTGGCCTTGCCAAAATGTTGGGTTACTGAAACCAGAGGCAATCATAAGAGACCGCCTCGCAAACAAATTGCTCTGTATAAGCCCATCCAGGTCACTTTGTCGTGCTCAGTGAAGATTGTGAATGGCACAATTTTCCAATCGTACAAATTAAGGAGACGGTTAAATCCAGGATTATTACAAACTAGCCGAAAACATGTCCAGCGACATATTTCCCAAGGTGGAGTATCCACCCATGATAAAAGGAAGCTTGAGACTGATGTTACAACTCAAAGATGCATTTTTGGCCTGTTTCAATTTAGTCGAGGAATATCGTGATCAGCTGCTTGCATGTCAACGTGGTTTTGCACGAGATCTTGTAGTTTATCAGCTTACACAAGGACTGGCGGGAATAAATCGGCTACGCGAAGACCTAGCCAATATTGAAACCCAGGGTCAAGCTCGAATGAATCGCAATTCTACTCTACGTCGTTACCTACTTGAACGCTATTCTCTAACCGATGGACAAGATATTCCAACTTCCGGGGTTGGAATGGTGACGCGTTTGGGGCAGGACGAAGATTCAGATATTAATCGATCGGGGACGGGGACAGCTGTTTTGGGAAACGCAATTCCACCTCCAGTATCGGCTCCTGATTCCGTAGAAGCAGCACTGCATGGTGGATTGGATAACTGCATCGGAAAAGTAAATGTGGATATACTCGACATTCCAGAGGAGATTGATTTAGCCACAACAACAACCGAAAGTGGTGCACATCTTCTCCCGGTGGTTGATTTTTATCGGGGTTTCTATTTTCTTCAAATGCACTTTCAAGTGAGTTTGTCGTTGGAAGATTTCAAATGTTGAACTATCTCGCAAAAGCCATTAGCCCGTCGGAAACAGCACTTGTTAAACCTTTTGGTAGTCTTCTGACAGGAGATTTTGATCCAAAATACATCACTTGATGTCCATGATTATATAATGCCAGTGGGCAATTAAAAATAAAGCTTTATTAATGGGCATAACCGGTACTAAAGGAAGATAACAGAGGAGGCACATTTGCAACTCCTAACATTAGACCAGTTATATATACGAAAATATGTCGTATGTGGCTGAGCGATTTGAATAACGAGCATTCAAAAGATCGGTGTCTTATTCATTCTAGAATATCGTTGATAGCGGACGAGATAAACCCGACTGACGCTAAAGTTCATCATATGACGTCTGACTTGATGATAGATATTCATGTGAATCCTGTTACCCAACAGAACATGTAAATAGAATTGGACTATAAGTAGGACCCTCTCACTTAGGCCAAGTACCCTACAGGTTTCACAATTGGCAATCGGCTTAAAATGATTTACCATACAGGGTGAAAATGTTAAGAAAAATTTCTACCCACAAATTTTGTTTCATTCCTGCTGGACTCGTTCTATGATCATCGGTGGAAAGAGTCGAGGAAGTGGAGGAAAACGAGCTTTTGTGATGTTCTAAACTTCTAAGATAAACTTTTAACTATGTGAATGATATTAGAAATCAAAATTTACTCTTTTTTCTAAATTTATAGCATACAAACACATTTTGATGTAGGAATTAGAGTTAATTGTTTTTGGTCACACTGATTTGGTATTCAACCCACTTAGTTTCGATTGTCACTGAAACACTTGAACGATGGACACAATAGTTACTTGAAACATTCGATAACCGGGTAGATACTTCAGATAGTACATTATCAGGATCAAAAATAACCATCATTTTACTTAGATAACGCCAGGGCAACTATCAGCTTTTGTTTCCGCAGTCCACGCCTTCATTTGAGAATGGTAGTCTGATCATTGTGGCCATCGGGTTAAACTGACGCAGTGCTCTAGGCAAATGTCCTGCTGCGGTGTGCCCGCTGACCTGTTGTTTACTGTCCGACAGCTGTCCACCCCACATGGAACATGATCGATTATTCCAAATCAAATTTGCTGTTTAAATAAGCCTAAATAGACGTATGAGCACTCCGCATTTGTTGCAGTTATGACTCCGAGAAGTATTTGTCTGGCATTCATAGTGGAGTAGCCCCGGCGAGCTACTGAACTTTTCACGATTTCAAAGAACAATATGAACAATTAACCTTGTCTTAGAAGCTCATTTGGTGGACTCCGGTGAATTCTAAGGAAAATCTGTCAGGGCAGTCATCTTACATGCAATCTGGTGGATGTCATATGCATCTGTAAGTTGGATGGGCTATTCAAATGTGAAAAGATTAGTGCTATCGATATGGTATCGTAGATCAGCTGGTAGAGCGTACGCTGTACAAAAGCTCAGGCTGCGCCTATGCATATATTCGAGTCCTACCGAGGCTACTGAACATTTTACAAATTCAAAATACAAAGTTGGTCCAAGCTTTGCTGCATAGACTGATTGTGTCGCCTGGTTTCGTTAACATGAAAACTCGAAAACAAAGTCATTTCACAATGAGTTTGATCCAGACTCAAAATCAAAAGCTAAACAACGACTAGATTAAAATGCTATGATAACAGTCCAGTTTACAATATATAACTAATTGTAAACAAATCAATTGATGCGGGATCAGATAGAAACAACTCTTGACATGTGTTACTCGATTTCTACTGCATCTCGTTTATCTCCATTCTGCTATTCATTTGGTACCGATGAAAAAATTAATATTTTCCACTTTCGTACCAGTAGATAGATTCATTTTTCCTACTAACCACAATTAGGAGTTCACCTCTTGGTACTCTCTATTTACGGTTACTATGATCGCAATATCCATGACCGGAAGGCTTTTCTACACGTTTCAGTCACCTGACACGAAAAGGATTGTCGTACGCAACACTTAATACAACAAGTTGATGTAAATGATTTAACACGTCTCTATAGAGCAAAATGTCAGCAAGAGCCCTCTAATACTGTAATCACAAACTGGATATATAAGCACTGGTATTCTGGAAGAACTTGCATCGGTTAGACGTGCGACGTGTGCAGACATTAGGGTTCAACAGTTTGGTGCTTTCAGGGGACAGAAACATTTCCATGAGTAAAGAAATATCGCTCAGAATGCAGTTTCACGGAAATACCAAAAGTTTAATGTGCATTAACTACTTATGTGCTTCCGGAGTTATAATAGTTCTGATTAACCAATAAGCATAAAATCAGATATATATATATATATATATGTATTAATTCGCAGCCCATTGGTTTTGTGGTGTTAGATTTAATGGTAATAACTATGAAGGCATTAGTCATGGTGGTAATAGCAGTTGTTTTAGTGGTAATGGCAGCAGTAGAATTGTAACCAGGCCATTGATTGGTCAAATCTTTTATCATTCATCAGTGGCTACAAGAAGCTATGTATATCGGGTGAAAAGCCAACAGTTCCAATGGACGTATAGGTCTGTGAGATCCTAACATTACCACGGCACTTAATTTATATTCATACTAGGAGATAGGAACAAAATCGTACACAGATATCCAGCATGAAACGAGTACACATCCATTGAAACAAATTAATATAACAACTGAATTGGCCTTATAAAATGCATCAAATAAATTCAAGATTATATAAAAGAACGTTTGCTTAATGTCCGCTGTAGAGTACTCAGAAATAGCCAAATCAGCCACAGTGAAGGAAATCAGAAGCTTCAACCAGAAGACAAACGGACGTATTTGCTCTGCTTTGTCTCTCGAGTACCGTGAGCTGATTGGATCTGCATGCGTTCGTTCAAACTGTATAAGTTCCGGTGGGTTTATTCTCACTAGCCTTCATGTATGGAAAATTCATAAGAAAAATGGGCTATTCTCAAACAAATTAAGTAAAATCACTCTTCCCTAACGCTATAGGAATTTCGATTCCGGAACAGTTTTTTGTAGATCTAAATCGCATTCTGTCGAGGTTGGAAAAAGTTAGGCTCCGACTATATTTGAGAACCAAATGATGTACTGGTAAAAGTTAAAAAATGAGCTCTGGGAATAAACCGCATCGGTTCAAATGCCTTTTGGTTCTTACCATTTCTTACCATTGTCATATTTACAGCCTCTTATATTCATACCTTTATAGCTGTATTGAATTCATAGCTAATTAAGACAGTACTTCAATTTTATTTTCGAAAGACTTACCTTAATCGAAGACCTAATTCAATCTCCCTTATACGACAATGAGAAAATTCGAGCAAAACCTCATGGACGGTAATCAGCCAGTTAAATATATTGCAATTAAAAGTCTCGAGTACAAATAACCGTTTAGCTTTCCCACGAGATTACCGTAATATTTGATCGTGATCACTAACCCCTGATTCAATGCTGAGTACACGGTAGCAGTTCCTTCCCATGTCCCCCTTCTACGGTTCGTTCTGTTGCACTATAAGAGTTCTGAACAATCGCGGATGTTTCCATTTGTTTTAAATTCTCTAACAACTGTCTACTTTGGATAGTGCTTTTGATTAGATTCGTTTTATTTTTGTTTTGATGCGGGGGGGGGGCTATGACGAAACGTGCCACTGTTATAGCAAATTTTATTATTCTTGAAGACCATGTAGTTGACTCAAAAACTGATCTTATTTGTAATCCCCTTTAGACTTCTACAGTACCGAAAACGTTTCCAATCAGATTTGTTTAATTTTTAGAACACAAACAGTTACAAGTGGTTGTGTATCTTGAAGAAGCAATCTTATCCTTTGGGCAAATTTTATTACCTGCAGCGCTACATTAAAGTGTACTGGGGAACTGAGAACTCCTTAGAATGTAGGTTGAAATCAACGGTGATGCAAATGGCATATGCCACACAAAAGAAAAAATCATACATAAGGGGTCATTTTAGAAGTGCATATACACCGTAGCACTTGGTAGGGTGAAAGGGTTTTAATAATTTCCAACGTCGATTGGGCTACGTAAACACATCTATGATTTCACAAACCGCTCTTCACTTTTGTACTTACCCCATACCAAACAATTTCTATCAATATTCAGTATGCCTAGCTAATAAGAAAAAAGTCATACCGCATTTAATGATGAAAAGTGGCGTAAACTACCTGATCAATATATATATATATATATACATTTACATATAAGCTTTTCAGCTAGGTTAATGTGCGGCGATCGATATCTTGATCGAATAACGGAGACGATTCTATCAATCGTCTATTGAGTTTCACTGGGTGTAACGAGAACAGCACTTTAAAAATAGTCATCCGATACATGCCGCTTACCTCTCCAGTGCACATACTGTGGCCATGTGAAGCTGAGACACGAAGCACAGAGGGATAGGCTGTAAGTCAACCGTGGTTTTGATACAGACACGATGAAAGGACATACAGGTTGGGCCATGAACATGAAACGTAGATACTGGGAAGCGAAGATTATACGTATTGCATTAGTAGATGAACGCTTCTCTGAACTTCGGGAAGGGGAGTCTTGAACATGTTTATAATAGAGCAGATCTCAAATGAGCATTATAGATTACGTTAAAACGACATACCCCACATATGAGGCCCCTCTTTCTAACTCGAGTGGTTCAAAGGTTAAGCTTTTGCTATTTTATTTCATGGAATCGCTATGTGAAACGTGTTATCCTTCCTGTTTGTAGACTTGATGAATGGTCAAAGTAAAAGAATCCAAAACAATGCAATAACATTTGTTTACGCTGTATAGTGATTAAACGGTGGGAGCCCAACGACAATCAAATCGTGAATTTATAATTGTTTACCGATGATTCAGTTCGGTGTCCTCAAAACCCGATAAACAATCCCTCACAGTGGTCAAATATAAGCCCCTAAGTTCAATGACCGGATTAGATGTGAAACGGCTTCGGGTAGCCGCCAGAAAAAAACAGCACAAACTCTCCCATGCTGCACCCTCCGGTC